AGGAGCGTGAACGATGGACAGTCATCCATTCGGGGCCTGCCATCTGGTGTATGAATGGTGTCGGTTCGGCTCTGTTTTTCTTTCTCTTCCATTTGAGCACGGAGATCGTTGTTAGACTGTTGTAACTCTTGATACTGCTCTGTGAGGGTCTTCATATTGGCCTTGAGTTCATCCATTTGTTCGTTCAGCACCGCATTTGTTGCACCAAGAAGATCGTTGTCAGTTTTCAATTGGTAGTTCTCTGCCAATAAATCAATGGTTTTTACGATCTCATCTGTGAGTTGATCTTGCGTCTGTCGCAGCGTTGCTGCCGATGATGTTGGACTCAGTTTTTCCACCTCTGTTTTTCTTGCTAGCCGCTCATTGAGTATGTTGTTTTTTGCTTCCAAGTCTTCCGTCATTTTCTGGAACTGTAGCGCGGTCACAGTCATTGCAGCAAGGTCCGCGGACAGCTTGACGTTTTGCGCCTCCTTGATCCTTCAACTTTTTCATGAAGTTATCTGGAATCCTGTTTATCAATGCAGCAAGTGGTGTGTCTTCATCCAACGTTTGATCCGATTCTGCATTCCTCTTGCGTTTGCCAATACGACTGTCAGCATTGCCCGCCCTGTCTTCTGTGTCTTCTTCCAAATCATAATCGACGTGCTCTTGATCCTGCATTGTATAGATTTGTGACTCTCTTTCCCTTATGACGAGCTCATGGTCGTCAATATCGGCGTCAAGTATGTCCCTGATAGCTAAGTTCTCAAGTTTATTGCCGAGGGTTGGGAGATGCCATTTTCGGAACCTTGGGAATGCATTTGGTTGTAAAGGCTCAATCAATTTAATTTTCTCACAGATCCAGAACTACAAAAAGAAAGATTATATTAGTAAATATCTTAATCAGCTATTTTATAAACAATTTACATAGTCGGCTAAATGCAAGTGTGTAATTTTTCGTACCTGTAACAGTGTGGTGCATCCCTTAACTTGCGTTACTTTTTCTTTATTTTGGACATAGTCAATAAGGAAATCAACTATGCACTCCCCCCAATTGTAAACTACCATTGCATCGATGTCTTCGCATAAATGGAAGATCCACCAATTAACGAGCTCGCCAGCTGTCGCAAAGAAGCATGTTGCGAGGACGTGCAGGATGACCATGCGTACAACATCTTCAATGTCTTCCTGTTCGGTGCTCCGAAGATACTTGAGGAGTTCAATCTTCACGTTGTACAATTTTAGCCTGTCGTGATCATGGAATTTACGCACAGCAAGCCCAAAATCTGGTTTTGCGGCTCGTTTGGTAATGATGTTTGTTGCGCCGGATTTGATTCCGAATATTAAATCGCATTCATTTGGCGTAATAATCAACTTTTTACCCCCAATTACGAATGCTTTTTCTGCCTTGTCGTACAACAGCAGTAGTTTTGCAACCCCCTTCTGCGTGCCTGTGACTTGGTGTAACGATACCTTCTTGAGGGCAAATGGCAAGATGAGGCGGTAGAAAGGGGTGCGCTTAAGGCAATCGAGATGCTCCTTTCGGAGATCGATACCTTTGAAGAAGTCTACCGTTGATTGCAGACTTGAACGGTACTGCCTCGTCCAAGAGCCCTCCTTGAGTAAACGGTCTACCAATAAATTTGCTTCATCTGCAAACAAAAAATGATGTTGTTAGAATATCAGATAACAGAAGAGTTGTCAATATAAAATTGAAGTCGTCTATCAAATTACACTAATATGCTATGATACAGGTGTAGTCTGCTCAGCACATATACATCAATATGTCTTCTAGCAGGCTAGTTAATCGAATATACAAATAACACACTAATCGACTATGATATAATCATAGTTTTATCAGCACACATACTTCAATCGTAGCTTATGACTAGACGGCTAGTAAATCAACTATACACAGCAAACACCAATCGACTATTATATAACCTCGTTATTATCAGCATACAGCCAGGCAAATCACACACTAATCGACTATCAACAGTTTCAAATTTTTAAGGGGGTTTCTTACCAGCATCAAGTTCCCGTATATCTCTTTTAGCTTTCTTCTTACTTTCGCCTGTATAAAAAGAGAAAAAATGGCGTCATGGACAGCAAATTTAGGTTAAATAGTTGAATAAAATGTAGAAGTCTGATAATCACTTACGGCTTGATTTTCCTTTAGTCGTCATTCTCTTTTTTTGTTTCGATTTTTTGTTTCGCGTTGATGCAGATGCGGGAGCCGGAACCCTAATCGACTCCAGAGACGTCGTTTCAAGGAAATGGTGATCGGAGAAGGCGACTACGACGGAGGGAGAA